CTTAAGATTTATCATGTAGGATTAAAATTTCGTTATAATCAGTAACATGTAATAATAAATAATAGCAACAAAATAATTACAGCTTGGAGCGAAAATAAAATATAATTGTTACACGTGAATTCCTAGACGTTGTCAAATTAACATTATCGTGGCGAGCTAAAAGCAATATTATGTAGTACAATGTCCTCGGCATAGACACCAGCAATTTTCCGATTTCTAATTTAAATGACCCGTCACCGTGTTTCGAAGGTCACCTAAATCCGTCAGTCCCGGATTTAGGTATCCCAGAAGTAGTCTGAGACCTATTGGAGAACCGTCTCTTACCGTCTTTATTACTCTATTTGTTGTCATTCGGTTTATATGATCGTTCCATTCTATTCTTCTATTTCTTATCCAGTTCTTACGTTCTCCATCTTGCATCAACGTCATATATCTGTACTTATAGCTCTGTCCTATAGTATCTTATCATCAATTTTTTTAAGTGTTTTCATCTCTGCTGTTTTTAACACCCTTTTTGTCCTCTCTGTCAGGTCTTGTTTCTGCTGCGTATGTCACTGTTGGTCTGATGACTGTTTCGTAAGTACTACCTTTCATTTATTTCCCAATAGTTTTATTTCTCCATATTGTTTCAATCAGGCAACATGCGGGCTCTGTTTGCTCTACGCACTTGATCTTCCACTTCAGTTTCGAACTTTCTGTATCTAGAGAGTGTGATGCCTAGATATTTAAACTCCATCACTTGTTCTATTATCTGACCTTCCAGCTCCAATTTACATCTTAGTAAATTTGCTGTTATAACCTTGGATTTTGTCTTTTCAGATTTACTTTTATAGGTCTCACAGATGCAGAGTATGATGCGCTTTTTTGGCCGAAAATTTTAAGTTTCTGTAATATCGACAAATAAAGTAAAAACAAAAAAATGGGTTATTTTTGGAAATACCTATAAAATCAGTTTTTGTTTGAAAAGTTTTTGCTTCATTTGATGACGGAGATCTACAAGATTTTTGATCCGGCTTCTAGCTTGTCAGGTTTGGTTAGAATAAGTCAAAAAGGAATTATAAAACCTTTATACGATAGAGCCAAAACACCTGCTCTAATAAAAATGCATTTCAGGAGGAAAAAAGCTGCTAACAAATGTTTTAACAAAAAAAATTATTACTCATTGTCATTTATAAACAACAAATTTCACAAGATTGAAGAAAGGAAACAAAAAAAAAACGCCATAAGCAACCCAGAGACGCACATAAGAACGGATTTAAATATGACATATGTAACGAAGTTATCAGAAAAAATATAAGAAATAAGTAGGTACATCACAACAATCAAAACAACCAATATACCGAGATTATTTACTGGCAATTATATGAATACTGAGATTATTTACTGGCAATTAATATATGGGTAACACACATCAAAAACTGTTTTTCTGTTGAAACATGCCTGGGGCAATGAGCAAAGAGTACAATGAAAAGATGCATCAATAGTCATGAAAGAAACAGACATGAAAAAGAGAAAAATCAAGGAAACAGCTCTCATCTTACCTAATGAAGAAAAATGTATATCAAACCCACCAGCAGAGTGTAGCAGGCTCTAGTTGCTACTACTAAAAGACGACGTCAGCAACAAGAATATACCAACATTATCGGATTAATAGAAAAACAGAGATAGATCATCTACAATTATACATAATACATACACAACACGCAATACACAAACACAAAACAATCTTCTTCTTTGAGTGCCTCTCCTATCGGAGATTGGATATCATTAGGGCGATTCTAATTTTATTTAGTGCTGTTTTGAGTAATTCGTTAGTGCAATTACTACACAAAACAATAAGAATCCCTAACAATATGATGATTCTACATACATCACGTACGTCCTAACATAAATCATATACGTACAAACATTACCCTCAGAATTTTCAAAAGCAAGGCTATTTGCCTACAAGATCGAGGCGAAATAATTCACTCGTCAATTAAGAAAACAATAACCGCCAAACAACTATTGGTTATAATAGCAGCTCATTATTTTAAAATAATATTTTATAAATAACAGTTGCAGAACCTTCTTAAGTTAAAGTAGCTTAGTTTTTAGCAGGCTTTGTTATAAAAAGGACATTCACTTCATTTTTAACAAGCATGAAGTTAATCTTATGTTTTTTCTGCACCGAAGCAAGTGGTGGCCAGATTAACATCAAAATTGAAACCTGTTTTTTGATTATCGATTTCTCGGGACCTATAAGCCCAGATTAGTAATAAAAGTCATCGAATTATCCAGAAAATGCACTTTTATACATTAATTAATTTTATATGTATTTAAAAAATTAGCCTATTTTTAATTTATTATGCGTTACAAAGAATATTACATACTCAAATAAATAAAGCCAAACATTAAATTCTATAAATCGTTACTGATGTACAAAAGTGAGTGTTAGATAAATCTTAAAAAGCAAACGAGTAGAATACATGTAGCAGATATTTCTAAGAGAAGTTTAAGGCTGCACTAGTAGAGATCTAATAAAAACTTGTTGACATACGTAACAAACTAAATCTATACACTATAAACGACAAGACAGCTGGATATAAAGAAAGATGTTTACAGAAAAGAAAACGAAACCTTATTGTGTTAGTACTAGCGTATGGAGATATCTGAGACATGTGTGACACTAAAACTTCTTTAATTTATTCTTTCGGAGAAAGATTCAACACATTGGTGAAAGGATACGTTTATTGGTAATACAACTACATTACTTGTTACACAATATTGAGGGAGGTCACACACCGATAAAATGTCCAATTTATATCTAACAAACTGGTTCACGGTTTTAAACACATATTTCTGATGCGTTATCAGATTTCAATTAGGTAAGCTCTTGTGGCAACTCGAGAGGCCATACAAGTTCTCTTTCAAAGATGTAGAGACGTGAATTGTGATTTGTGGATTACCAGAAAGCGTTCGATAGAATAAAACATGACGAACTGATGAAAATATTAAATTCAATTGGTCTAGACAGCAGAGATCGCCGTATAATAAACAATATCTATTACGAACAAACTGCAGCTGTTAGAGTTAGGGATCAGCTAACAGACGATATAAAGATAAAAAGAGGTGCACGACAGGGATGTATATTGTCCCCATTATTGTTCAATACATATTCAGAGCACATTATGAACCTAGCTCTAACGGACATAGACGAGAGAATACTTATAAACGGAGAACGATTGAACAACATAAGGTACGCTGATGATACTGTCATTTTTGCAAACAGTCTTGAAGGTCTGCAGACACTTGTCTCCAAAGTGGCAGAAGTAAGTAGCAGGTTTGAGCTTGATTTTAACATAAAAAAAAACCAAATACATGGTTATAAGCAAAAATAGGATACCACCTAGTCAATTACTAGTTAACCAACAACCTATAACACAAATCACCAACTTTTGTTATCTGGGTGCAAACTTAAATGAACAGTGGGAGAAATCGACGGAAATTAAGACAAGGATCGAGAAGGCAAGATCAGCTTTCGTCAAAATGAAAAAAATCTTTAACAGTCACGACATAAAATTGGAAATAAAAGTTCGTTTACTAAAATGCTACGTATTTTCCGTTCTTTTATATGGCGTAGAGTCATGGACCTTAACTGAAGCATCACTGAAGAGACTCGAAGCATTTGAGATGTGGTGCTATAGACGCATGTTGAGGATTTCATGGATAGACAGAATTACCAACGAAGAAGTACTACATAGAATGGGTAAAGAGCTCGAACTAGTCGTAATCATAAAACGTCGCAAACTAGAATACCTGGGCCATATAATGCGCAATGAACAACGATATGACCTACTTCGGACCATACTTCAAGGTAAAGTGCATGAGAAAAGAGGTCCAGGACGGAGAAAAATATCCTGGCTGCATAACCTGCGAAAGTGGTTTAACTTAACCACTACCGGACTTTTCAGGACAGCAGTCAACAAAGTCAGAATAGCCATGTTAGTGTCCAACATCCGTAACGGATAGGCACCATAAGAAGAAAGCTCTTGTGACCTCGAAATGTGTCGTATGTTAATACATAATTTACAGAAACAATTATTTTATAACAAGAGAAGTAGTAACTGGTAGTAGGCACAATTACAATATAATTGAAATCTAATGACTACAATCTAATCTCTAAGAAGCAGCATTGATAAAGGGGGCAACGGAAAAGATGTATCATAATACTTTTCGCTTTGTGAAGATGGAACAGCCAAAACTTAATTCTAGTAGTAAAGAAGAAATATGAAATAAAAAATGAAGTTTCAAAAATATTGTAACAATTAATTTTATTGTTTTTTTTTTGTTTATACTTGTCGAGTTTTTTTAATTTTATAACTTTTTTATTAAAGATTATTTTTAGATTCCCTCGGTTGTTAAAATTATCCTTTTCTCAAAACTTATTATCACATGTTACTATTTAAAAAAGTAATTCCATTTCGCCTACATTCAACACGTTAAAATATAACAAGCATTAAATTTACAGAAAATAAGACAGATACATTATATATTCATATTCAACATACTTTAATTCTAATTGTTGACTTAGTGAGTTGGTCTATTTTTACTATATTTTTGAATGGATTAGTCTAGTAAATGTAGTGATTGCGATTTTTGTAAGTAAACATCTCATTTTTATGAAAGTTGATCTTTATCTATAATAAAATATAGTATTTTAATAATCAATTAAATCTTTTTATGAGCGAGATTGAGCAACATGTAAAATCCGTCTTAGTTTCTATTATTATTAATGCTCTAAAATACAAAAATAATGTAGTTACTAATACAATACATCCAAAAAATGAAATTATTATAAAATCACAGATTCGTAAGATTAAATTGGGGAAAGACGAACAACAATGATGAGGAGATTTATTATGACAAGGAAATAGTTACGTTGAAAAACAAGCAAATAACTTGAATTAAATAATGAATTGAAAATTGAATTAAAAATAATTATTTTTTGGGTAAAGATTTTCTAGAATAGTTTTATGACACTTTTGCTAAAAAATAATTTATTACATTATTTTAATCGAATAGGTATGTATTTTATTAAATTTAATAACGATTCCAGTTCCTGGACTAAGGAGTAATTTAGCATAATTTTTCAACATAACAGCCTCGTCAACGTTACATATATTCCTAACATTTAAGAATCTGAAGGATTCTCTAACATTTCTGTCAAAAATGTGTCAACTGAGGCATCGCCAATCAACCTGAAAATAATAAGATTTGATTTAGAAACATTTTATTCTACATATATTTGATTTGATTTAGAAATATTTAGAAATATTTTATTCTACATCATTTTACCATGAATGAAAGTTTCATACGAAAGTATAAAAAAAAACCTGACTGACATGCAACGACTTATTGAAGAAATATAAACATACACCGCGTGTAAAGATGGAAAATAATATATTATAAACAATATACTATAATCATTAATATTTATCAATTCGTCAGTACTTGTAAATCATATTGAAATATTGTGCCATGGAGCTTAATTGTTAATGTGCAATGTGTATTAAAGAAAGATAAAACGAACAAATGTTTATGATTTAAACTACTTGACCTAAACGTCTTACTCAGTGTAAAGTTTAACGAATTTTAGAAGAATATTGTACCTAGTCAGTTTGAATTTCTAACATGACATAGCCAATCGAGATCTATTTAGGATTAGGTGTAGTGCGTCAGACCTCAGATTTTGGTAGAAATTCCGAAAGGTTGTTAATAACTAGAATTTTAATGTACTCTAGCTGAAAAAGTTATTTGTAAGTATCATGTCTACGAAAAAAATGGATTAAATGGATTTGTTCGCAATTAAATTGAGATCACAAATTCGCAAAATCAATTGGTAAAAGTAACTTATTGCCTTTGTTTTGGAGATTTGCTTTTAGAAAATTGAAAAACTCATTTAAAGTTTCTAATTCATAAAATGTTTGATGTTTTCTTTAAACAAATATCGTAAAGAAAATGCAACAATTTTTTCTTCTATTTTTGCATAATAATTATTTTATCCAGCTCTGTAAAAAAAACCGAAAAATTTTAAAACTTTGCCGTGTGCTAAAATCGCTGATTTTTTACACATAATATATATATATATATATATATATTATATATATATATATATATATATATATATATATATAATATATATTATATATATATATATATTATATATATGTATATATTATCATCATCATCATTTTGGCTTTACAACCCTAGCCTAGCCTCCCAAGAACTTTTTTCCAGCAGATCGCCTTCCTCCGCCAAGCACGTATTTCTCATATCTTGGTCTATGTTATATATATATATATATATATATTTATATATATATATATATATATATATATATATATATTATATATAATATATATATATATATATATATATATATATATATATATATATATGTATTTATTCGGATAAATTTCCGCGGTCAGATGAAAGAATTTTGAAAATGTCCAAATTTTCCAGAGACAGGTTTTTACAAAATTATTATTCAATATCAGAAAACAAATATCCCATTTTTCTTTGCAACATTGTTTAGGAGATATCTTCAGACTTTTTACCATTTTCAGAAAATTTAAACAAAATTCCTATTTCCCATAAGAAAATTAACAAAACGTTATTTCTACGACTCGATTGCACGAATTTTAATTTCTACATGCTGGAAAACTTTGATAGTAACTTTCATTGCGAAGAAATTTACTTTTATCCCTTTTTGTTAATTTTAGATATGATACTTCTCGAGATATTTGATTAAGGTTACAAATAGAGTTTTGTATAGTCAATTGTTAATTCTATAATTTTTTCTGAATTTTCCACAACTTTTTCAGCTAAAGAATATTAATTTTCTAGTTACGAACAATCTTCAAAAGATATTTCTATAAAAGTTAAGTTATTCTTGTACATATATGCAGGAGTTTTGTGTATAGACTGGATTATTGGTATCCGGATAGGAAATTATATTAAATTTCAACGGAATTTATATTAGACTAACGAACACTTGATAAAAAATATGAGTAGCTATTGTGGTGTATTATTGAAATTTTATTATCTTGGGAATTATTTACAATTTCAGTTAAACTTACGTTTATTTTGACGTTTCGATTTTCACTTCGGAAATCGTTCTCGAAAAACAGATTCCGAACGATTTCCGACGTGCAAATCGAAACGTCAAAATAAACGTATGTTTAATTAAAATTGTGGTTACTTTCCATTAAAGATAATAAATAACATTAAAATGTCATAAAAAATAGCTTCCGAACTATATTATTGGGCATATGTTAAAAAAAAGTTATAATTACCTAAAGAAAAATAGATGTTCAAGACATTTAAGACCGATCGACCTTAGCGCTGGTAAACGAAGTAAAAGTTTGGCGAATCTGCCTGGCTCATTAGGATGTGTGGTACGGGTATAGTCCTCTAATACACCATAAATCTTTTCTCTGAGAATTTCTACCTCTTGGATGGACTTTAGACCCCGAACATCTAAAAACATAAATAATTTTATAAATGCGCAATTAAAACCTAGTAATTTATTAAATATACTAATAAACAAATAATAATTACATTAAAGATATGTCTTCCAATAGATCTAAGAGCCTTTACTCAACCTAAGAGTCAACTATTTTATAAAAGAAGAAAAATATAAAAAATATATGTAAAACTTGTCCTGTCTCATTTTTTTCTTTTTTCTGTTGCTCTGAAGTCAACTTTTTGAATATTTATAAATACACTATGTTACATTTGTTATTTACTTTGTTGAGACAATATCAACTAAAACTTTGCTAACTTGTGAGATTTTATTGTGAGTATACTCCGTAACATATACTTGAAGCATACCATGGGCAACGCTATTTTAATATAAAAAAACATCTACCTTTAAACTACACTTTTTTTTGGTATTCGGTTTTAAGGATACATTTAGGTTTTTTGAATCGTACGTGATTGATTGGACGCTTAAATTTTTAAAACTTCACTTGGTCACTTTTTGCAGTATACACACGATATGAGGTATAGAAACTTTCGTTAATGTTCTAATGTTATTCCCTCTAATCGTTCTCTATTCCGCTGGAATGTCAAGATCAAAAGCGATGTCAGATTAAAATTTTATTTCCTGGTTCTGATGGAGAGTTTTAATAAAACTAAACAGCATGTAAAATCCACTGTTGCTTTTATTTCTTAATGCGACAACGTGAACAATTTTTCATCATCTTTATAACCACGTCAAAAAAGAATAAGTCTAAGAGTCTTGGACTTTCGATTTTCTAACGTTAACGATAAGTTTAACGATTTTTCGTGGTATTTTTACTCTTCTATAAATCTACTATAAACCTATAATATAAACCTATATAATACTGAAACTAAAGTACAACTAAATTGTAGGTACATGTTCTTTCAAATCAAAAATTTGTACAAGATAAGCTACTTGATGTGACAAAAAATCCAATATCCAAAAATATCGCTGATCGATATTTGCTATTTCGCATATCTTTATTTTTAATAAACTGAACGGCAAAAAAAGTGGCCACCCAATAAATTTCCGAAAATAAAAAATCATTGGAAGTCTTATGCACTTTTTCATATTGCGTCTCAATTTAAATATTTATTGCGATCATTAAAAACATTTAATTAAACAATAATTTTGCCTTTAAAACATTAAAGTCAAGTTTATGTTTTCGAAACTTTAGGTATTTCGAGAACTACAGTACAGAGAGCTTTCCATCGCTTTATAGAGACTGGTACATATTCACGTCAACATGATTCCGGTCGTAGAAGAGTTACCTCACAAAGAGATGATCCTTTTATTGTGATGGAACTTTTAAGAAATCGTCATTCCACTGCAATTGCTGCAATAAACCGTCTGCAGGAGGTTTATTGCAGCAAAGTAAGTGAGAGAACGTTTAGAAGACACCTCAATAAAAGAAGGTCGGCTGTAGTTCTCCAATTGTAACTCAGACACTGTAGGAATAAATTAATTTTTGCTTGACATCAACAATGGGATATACAGGATTGGAGCCTAATTCTTTTTACTGATGAATCGCGGTTCTGTTCGAAGTCTGGAGATGGAAGTCCGCCGTGAGCGGTTTGGAGACGGAGAAATGTAAGATATGCCCAAGCTTGTATTTCCCAGAGAAGAAGGGTGGCGGTGGTGGTGTCATGGTTTGGGCTGGAATCTCATTGGAACTTATTTTCATCAATGGTTCCCTGAATGCTCACCGGTATATAGACAATGTTTTGACAGAAACAGCAGTTTCATTTGGTCCATTTATTGGGGACAATTTCGTCTTTATGCATGATAAGCATGTTGCAAGAATCGTTACAGATTACTTGAAGGAAATAGGAATTAATACTCTAGAATAGCCAGCCTGCAGTCGTGATTTGAATATCATCGATCATCTGTTGTGTTGGATGAACTTCATCTTAGGGTTAGAAGTCAATCAGGCCAGCCAGAAAGTTTTGCAGAACTTCAAAACATGCTTTGTGAATAATATGAACGCATTCCTCAAGTTTTTATTCAAAATTTGTTTTTTCCCTTCCAAATCGTGTGCAAACGGTTATTTATGTTTTAGGGGATAATACCAAATATAAGAAAATGTTGTTTAAGTTCACTCACAACTTTTATTGTTTGTAATTAATTTCGATATTACACTATTTTCTATTTAACTGGGAATAAGCCACAATTAAAGATAAAAATACGTTTATTGACGTTTCAATTTCCACTTCGGAAATCGTTCTCAAAATACGTCAAAATTCTCAAAATTTCCGAAGTGGAAATTGAAACGTCAATAAACGTATTTTTATCTTTAATTGTGGTTTATTCCCAGTTAAATAGTAATTAATTTAAAATGCCACAAGAAAATAGCTTCAGAACAATATACACTATTTTCTTTGTAGCCTTCTCATTAAGTAAACAGTACGTTTGATTTTTTGTTTTAAAAATAAAAGATGTTGAGTATATAATATAAAATAGTGCATAAAACTTCCAATGAATTTTTATTTTCGGAAATTTTTAGGGTGGCCACTTTTTTTGCCGATCAGTGTAGATACCGAGCTAACGAGAAAAATCGTAATTATTGACAATTTTACCATTCCAAAAATCATTTGAGATGTTACATTATTAATACAAAGTTAAGTAAGAGTTTTTTTATGATTCTATTAAAAAATAGCTGAAGTACTATACCAAATAACATATAAAACTCTCAAGAGTATATAAATATGGAAGTACAAAACTTAAAGAGAATCAGTAAATGAAAGAAGAGTAAAATGATACCTAAGAAAATATTGTAATGAATTTTAAAGTTTGTGAGGAGACAACCTATCTTTACTGCGAATAGCGAAAGTAGCGAAGATAAATCAAAAATAAAACTTACCTGGATTATACAGTATTATGGCTCTGAGACATCCGAGTTCTGTTTTGTCCATTTTCATTTCTTTCATTTTGTTTACGAGTTCCGATAGTACCCTGTCATATATGTTACCAACTCCCACAGCATGAGCAGTTGATCTACAAAAATTTTATTATTATACAATTTGTTTCTACTACTATTCCTATATACCAAGGTATGCGTAAGAGTAACCACATGACAATCCGACAAGCGAGTTTTTGTGGAAATCGTTGCGCGTCGGTAAAAGTAGAAAAGAAAAAGGGAGATAGCTCAATTCTTTTTGTACATTCAAGTAGAAGATATCGTTGCTTGTAATGAAAATAGTGCAGCGTTTTCATCTTACGGTGCTTATCTGTTACGGATGTCGGCGATCATCATGGATATCTTTGTACAACAGCTCGATGTAGCCATTTACGTCTAAATATGTCTTTTCCAGGTCCCTCTAGTCATTTACTTCTTTTGAAGAATTAATTAGAGAAGGTAGTTGACTGTTTTTGATTTCTCATTATGTGTAAAGATATTGACATTCCTTCCCATTCTACACAGTTTTATAGTTGCCACAGTTAGCCATTATTATTAAAACCCAGAGTCAACGAGTGTCGATCACCTAAGAGACTCGGGGCAATAATTCGGGTCTCGGCTCATTCGGATCCTTACTGATGCAATTATCGCCTATAGACTTCATTATCAAGGAATATACTAAACCTTAATAAAAGAATAAAAGGACAATAAAAGCAAAAAGTAATAAAAATATAATTTTAAGATATATCAACTGTTCGCACACAAAAATTTATACTTAAAAAATATTATTCTCATAAGGAAGGTATTTTCATATTTTCATCATTTTTTTTTGTATCTAATTTGTTATATATGGCAATTAAACTTTTTTTTATATAACAATAAAACACTGAAAACTTTGTTTTCAAACTTCCACAAAATTTATTTTAACTATTATCACTACAGCTGTTTCGGCTGATAGCCTTTCTCAAGTGATCTATTTTTGGCATGCGTTTACAATTTATAGTCTCTAATGAAATAGGTTGAGGAGGGGAGAACTGTTTGTCTCAAGTTGGTCATTCAGAATTATATCTGTGTTTTTTAATTTATTGATTTCCATAGATTCTAACAAAGATAGCTTAAGGTCTTTATTTTGAAACGTGAAGAATTTTAAATTTGTCATTAAAAGAATGATTATGATCTAGAAGGTGAAGTGCGTATGTCGAATCTGTTTTTCTATTCTTGAAAGCCCTTTTATGTTCTGCTATTCGTTTCTCAAGTTTCTACCAGTTTGACCGATGTACGTTTTTGGGCAGTCGCCACATTGAATTTTATACACACCACTATTTAAGTGTTTTTTATTTTGGCTCTTGTTATTTTTAATATATTTGCCTAGGTTGTTATTTGTTCGGAAAGCTGGTGTTATTCCTTTCTTTTTTATATGTTTGGCAATTTTTGTTGTTATTTTGCCTGTATATGTAATCGAGCAGAAGGTACTGGGTTTTTTCTCTGGTGGTGGAAATACTATTTTCAGGGCTTTCTTGTGTAGTTTTTGATTTAACATTGTATTAATTGTTTTTTAGTTGTATCCGTTGTTTACTGCTATTTGCTTAATTATATTTAATTCTGTCTCAAAGTTGTCTTTTGACATCGGAATTTCTGTTAATCTATGTAACATACTATGATAAGCTGCCAGTTTATGTTGTGTTGGATGGGATGATGAATTGTGTATAGTCGTGTCAGTATGAGTAGGTTTGTGAAATATAGAGAAGTCATGTTTGTTTTGAAGTCTGCTAATTTTTAAATCTAAAAAATTTATGCATTGATTTTGTTCTGTTTCTATTGTAAATTCAATATGACTATGGAGTGAATTAATATACGATGAAAATTGGTCGAGTTGCCTGTTAGTTCCTGTGAAACATACCAGTACGTCGTCTACGTATCTCCACCAATATAAAAACTGTTTGAATACGGGATGTTTTGAAATCTTTGTCTCTAGATGATCCATAAAAATATCTGATAGCAATGGGCTTAGAGGATTACCCATTATAAGTCCTGCACTGTTATTTGTATATATTTTATTATTAAATTCAAAGTAGTCCTGGTTTATGCAAACTTCAAGAAGGTGTAATATTTCAGATGTAATTACTGTCTATACACAATTCATCATCCCATCCAACACAACATAAACTGGCAGATTATCATAGTATGTTACATAGATTAACAGAAATTCCGATGTCAAAAGACAACTTTGAGACAGAATTAAATATAATTAAGCAAATAGCAGTAAACAACGGATACAACGAACAAACAATTAATAAAATGTTAAATCAAAAAATACACAAGAAAGCCCTGAAAATAGTATTTCCACCACCAGAGAAAAAACCCAGTACCTTCTGCTCGATTACATATACAGGCAAAATAACAACAAAAATTGCCAAACATATAAAAAGAAAGGAATAACACCAGCTTTCCGAACAAATAACAACCTAGGTAAATATATTAAAAATAACAAGAGCCAAAATAAAAAACACTTAAATAGTGGTGTGTATAAAATTCAATGTGGCGACTGCCCAAAAACGTACATCGGTCAAACTGGTAGAAACTTTGAGAAACGAATAGCAGAACATAAAAGGGCTTTCAAGAATAGAAAAACAGATTCGACATACGCACTTCACCTTCTAGATCATAATCATTCTTTTAATGACAAATTTAAAATTCTTCACGTTCAAAATAAAGGCCTTAAGCTATCTTTGTTAGAATCTATGGAAATCAATAAATTAAAAAACACAGATATAATTCTGAATGACCAACTTGAGACAAACAGTTCTCCCCTCCTCAACCTATTTCATTAGAGACTATAAATTGTAAACGCATGCCAAAAAAGATCACTTGAGAAAGGCTATCAGCCGAAACAGCTGTAGTGATAATAGTTAAAATAAATTTTGTGGAAGTTTGAAAACAAAGTTTTCAGTGTTTTATTGTTACATAAAATGAATTTCCATCAAGTAACGGTCGAATCCATCAATTATCCATCAATTTTTTTTATATTTTTATACAATTTTTGAAGATTACAAGAAATTTTTATTCCTTTTTTCCATTCCTGTATTTTAAAGATGGCGCCAAAAATTACTTCTCCATGACGGACAGTTAATCTCTGATTAGCAAATTTAAAACATATTTATAATTCGAGAAAGGTTTTAAAAATGAAGTGCCATTGCGTGATAGTTTACCAGAAAAAATAAAAATTTCTTTAAAAAAAGGGGGACATAAATGTCCAAAAATTGAACTTATTTTAGACTTTTTTCAGTCACAAAAATTTTATTACTTTTTTTGTTCAAATTGTGGTAAACTCATCCATCATAGAGAAAACCAAAACAAACAAAATGCATAAAGGTTTATTAAAATCGACCGACTAATCCGAAAATTTTTAAAAACGTAGTTTTATCGGATAGTTAATCTTCGGATCTAGTCGGTCGATTTTAATAAACCTTTATGCATTTTGTTTGTTTTGGTTTTCTCTGTGATAGTTTACTACAATTTGACCAAAAATATAATAATAAAATTTATAAAACACTATAAAAAATTTATAAAATAAAAATAATAAAAACGCCGAAAAAAAGTTCAATTTTTAAAATTTTTTTTCCAATGTCCGCCATTTTGTGTTTTTGTTTTTAAGAATTTTCAATTTTTCCAATAAACTATCACGTAACTTTTTTAAAACCCTTCCCGAATTTTATATTTCAGATTTGCTATTCCAGAGATTAACTGTCCGCCATAGAGCAGTAATTTTTGGATGAAACATTTTTGGCCAATCTTTAAAAAACAGAAACAATAAAAAACAAAAGAAAAACAATTTGTAATCTTCAAAAGTTCTATAATAATATAAAAAAAGTTTAATAACGATATAAAATAAATAAAATACAAATAAATGTGTCTTTTTTTTTTAGCATTCTAGAGACGATAATAGTACCTTAAAAGACACGAGGTCTTAATAATTTAGAGAATCAGGTCTTTCGGTTCAGTTTATAGAACCAAAGTTCATGAACAACCCATCACTAGTCCATGTCTTCAGTCCGTAGAACAGAACTGTGAATAAGTAGCATGTCAGTAGACAGCATTTAGTTTTTAAAGATATACCTCTGTTTCCAAAAATGGGTCCCCATCCTAACGAATGCAGTTATTTCTTTATTCATTCGTTGTTTAATCTCTGTTGAGTGACCCCATTGGCTATTTAGATGAGTGCCGATATAATGTATAATGTTGATCTCTTTCGAACTTGTTTCTTAATTATATTTGGGGTTTTAACTTGGATAGGCCATGTATTTAAGATGGAAGAAAACAGGCTTCCAAAAAAACTGTTAACTACAAGAATGCAGGGGAAGAGGCCCATTGAAAGACCGAGAAAGCGATGGGAGGATGATGTGAACGAGGACGCTAGAAATCCCCTTGGCAGTCGATCGTGGAGGAGAATAGCTACTGACCATAACGGATGAGAGGTTTGATGAGGAAGACCAGGGCTCGAATTGGGTTGTAGCGCCATAGGATTGATGGATCGTGTGATTATAGTAATTTATATACTGGGTAAGTACAAAATAATCGTCGTATTACATCACTCGATTCACTAACTATGCTTCAAATAATTTTGGAGGTCATAAAGAATAGACGTAATGTTGCCAAATGGGAAACTTCAAATCGATTCTGTGACTCTCTTTTCTTCTGTTTGACTTCGTTTGTTGTAGTTATTAGTTTTACTTTTTTAATCGGTATCACTTGTGTTAGTGTTAGTTGGCGTTACACAAATAAAAATGAGCAAAGTTCACGTAGAACTATTATTTTAGCTATTTAAAATTGGACATTGGGCCAATGAGTTGGGAAGGAGCTCACGTATGTGTTACTTATTTTTACTTGTATTTTTTAATTATTACTGGTTTTAATTTAACATATTAAAAAAAACTTACTTGTTTACGGTTAGCCCTGTCGCTAGTACAATACCTTCTTGTGCTTGAACAGATCTGTGCGAAAAAGAGGCTATAAGGAGTTCATTCCATCCTGCTCGAAGTAGTAACACTTGATCAGAAACCGGAAGTGAGGTAAAATGAGGAATCAGTTTAGCCCACTCGACTAATTGCAGCAACTGCTTATTAGTGGCCTGGCAAATACTTGTTACTGCAGTCTACAACAGAAATAAAATTAATTAATTCACTTGAATGGTATTATAGCGTTCAAAATCATCTTGAACAAAACAAAATAATGATAGATTGGTATCAAAAGCCAACACAATTTTAATGATACTTAAAGTATTTTTCAAATCATCCTACTAATCAAAAGTTTAATACAGTATTTACTCAACAGAAACTTGCTACTAAAATCTATGAAAATAATGGATACCCAAAACATAAGAAATTGATACTTAACTCGGACCTTTTTGGCGGTCCCACTGGTATCGGAGCAGTACAACCAATTTATAAAAAATTACCATTAATTGTCATTTAACAACAGCTGTGATTAAATTATTCAAACAATTTACTAATATCAAAATTGTTAAATATTAGAAAACAGGCAACTGTTTTTAAAAGTAAAAGATAATACTCAAAGTCTTTATAAAACCAATGATATCTACACGTTGCCTTGTTCGGATTGCCAAAGTTGTTATGTCGGTCAAACTTCACACTGGCTCAAACAAAGAATAACACAGCACAAAAGTGACTGTACAAAAAAGAAAATAATTTAAAAACTGGGCACAATTTTGACTATTCAAATGTTAGGTAATTACTAGTTTAATGGGAATAAGCCACAATTGAAGTTTAAAATAAATTTTCCTCCTCGGAAATCGTTATCAAAATAAAAACATTAATAATATTATAGGGACATACGGATATTCTGTGTGAGTTTTTACCAGTTCTTCTATCATGCGCGGCCCCCTGCGAATGGGGGATATTTTCTGGGTATTTTTAGCGTTGAGTGATTGATTGATCGAAGTGAGAGAGGCCCATAGTGTAGCAGGGTTACCTGTCGTGCAACGGTGCGAAAGAAGTAATTGGATACTTCGAACGGAAGAATGAGTGGATTACAGATGAAATATTATATCTTTTGGACAGAAGGAGGAAAAATAAAAATAACACCAAACTATATAAAGAACTAGTTAAATTTGTCAGCAGAAACATAAACGTGGCTTACAAGAAGAGAGAACTGGAAATGTTAGAAGACGAAAACAACAAACTTTTCATAGACAAAGAAGAACAGTTATAGACATGGAAAATTTACACAAAATTTGTTTACAGATTATAGTCATGTAACGAGCACTGGTGAACTGAATGGACTAAAGATATTGAAAATTGAGGTGATAAAAGCTATATATCACACGAAAGATGGGAGAGTAACCAGATTCGATAAAATTACAGTTGATGTTTTGAAAGATTTTAACGAGAACAACATGCATATAATGTTAGAACTATTTAATCTGATATACGATACTGGTCAAATTCCATCGGACTGGTTGAAGTCCACGTCTGTGACACTTCCCAAGAAATCAAGTTCTAAGATGTGCACTGAATATCGCCTTATAAGTTTAATAAGACACACCCTTAAAGTGTTCTTGCGTATTATCCCTTCCAGAATATGAACAAAATTGGAAGAAAGTATAGGTAAAACACAGTTCGGCTTTAGATGTGGTTTTGGAACGTGAGAGCCTCTCTTTGCAATTCAAGTCAAAATTGTCTGAAATAACAAAACTATGTTTACGCCTGCTTTATCAAGAGAATGCATTCGATACCATCAAACAAGACAAACTAATAGAACTATTACACTAAAGACATTCAGATTAAAATAAAATTGGAATCAAAGAGTCCACATCCAGTATAGAAATAAAACGGGTCAAAACATAACCATTTCTAAGAGGGTTAGAAAGTGCTGAATTCTTTCGTCACTACTATTCGACCTACATACGGGACAAATATTTGTAGAGACACTGGAAAAGTACAATGAAGGTATCAAGATTATTGGGGTACCAATAAGTAATCTATATGCAGATGATACTATTATACGAGTCGATAACATTAAAGATTTACAGATGATGCTCAATAGAGTAAATACTACGGGCAACAAATTTGAACTTAAGATCAACAGAAAGGAAACTAAATTTATGATAATTAGTAAGATCCACATTCATAAAAATTAGAAAGTTCTTAAACAACTGTAACCTAAGCGTTAACATCCGATGGCGCGCCACGAAAGGTTACGTACTCTCTACACTACTTTATGGAGTAGAAGGGTGGACGTTAAAAGTAACAACCATCAAAAAGTTAGAGGCTTTAGAAATGCGACTGTATCGACGCATACTAAGAATACCTTGGACGGACGTGATCAATACAGATGTATTGAGACGAATGGGCAAAGAAATCGAATTGTAAAAAACTATTAAAAGAAGCGTCATATCTGGGCCATGTGTTTTGTAATGCTAAGTACTGTCAGCTACAGCTGATAGTGGAAGGCAAGACTGAAAGAAGAAAAGGTTTTGACAAAAGAAAAAATACTGGCTGAGAAACTCGCGAATGTTTCCAAATACCAGAAGCTGCAAACATAATACATGCGGCATAAAACAGAGAAATATATTGTTTCTTATATTGTTCCACATATCAGCAACTTTCGATGGAGGACGGCACCAAAAGAAGAAGCCATATTTCTAAACCAACTAGGATTAGTCAAGTTTTATAAGCTTTTTATGTCAATGTTGTTAAATGTAACTTTGAAAAGTATTATGAGCGGTTTGATATCCTAAATTATATAAAAAACTCAATTACTTCATCTGTCTATCCATACAAATTTCCTTACCTCAAGTGGAACAGGTGGATCATTGCACTCAACCCTTCGTTCAGCTTCTAGAAGCCTTTCTATGGGCATCTCTGTTTGAATATTTGAAGTGGATTCCACCTCGGAGGTATCTCTGTCTTTTGTCCTCTGTCTTTCTTCCTGCACAGCCTCTCGTTTCATTCCCATCGCCAGACATTTTTGATATCGGCAATACTGACACCTACAATGATTAATAACAATAAATAAAAAGACAATTTTAAAATAAACATAAATATAAGCTTTATTTATTTTATAGATCAATATAATATACAAATGGCTTTTCCAATGTTGTAATCCTTATTTTTGTTAGTAGAAAAACACAATTTCTAGTGCTAAAGCCACCACTGCATAAATATGCAATACTCATCACCGATGACAATTTGGTATAAAAAAGCATCATATTTTTGTCAGAAGCACCAAATGTAGCCGAACATAAATTCTTCTGTTAATCAGTTAGTAACCTTTTTCTTTAATGAGTAGTAACTTTGTGATAACCAAGATTGTGAATTATAGAATAGAAAGTCCCCGTTTTGATATTCTTATGTCTCAAAAATTCTTTAACTTTCATACGCCTATTTGCTTGTAACGTAGTTTCCAGTTGTCCCACTTTGTCATCTGATACAGCAACACGTTCAGGTCCAGGACAGGACAAATCAATCATTGATTATTTTCCTCGTGAACAAATTTCTGCATCATTCAACCACTTCCGCATGAGAATAATTATTGTATTCACTATACACAGCTTAACTTCTCGTATAAATGTCCATTGGCTAAAAATCCTCCGTGGCCAAAAATATATAACATCACGTATATTATTTTTAAATCGATTTTCGATCATTCATGTTATTTTCTCTCACTAACAATGTTTAAAAAATAACGAAATGCAGATATTTTTCAAACTTCATTTAACTAAACCCTCAGGAAAATTCAATTTTCGTACCAAAAGATACCGGATTTACTAGGATTAAACAATCCTAGTAAAAAAGTTTTGTACTTTCTTACAGCCGTAGGGAGTAATTTCTGACGCAGACTTTCTTTAAATATTCGGTTCTACGGTACAAACTCTTAAAAATAGATCAGATTTCGCAAGAGATCGCATCTTCTTCTTCTTTGAGTACCGTGCCCAAGTTTTAAGCGTGGGTAGCTTCCATGACGATTTGCCGATATCGTTCTCGATCTTGCGCGGCATGTAATAATTCATCTGCTGATAAGCCAGTCCATTGACGAAGGTTTCGGAGCCATGAGTATTTCTTTCTACCAATTCCTCTTCTCCCGTCGATCTTTCCGTTGAGTATCAACTGCATTATCCTGTATCTGCTTCCTCTCATTATATGCCCCAGATACGAGTTTTCTCTTATTATCTTTATTAAGTCACCTTCACCTGACCTACTCTGTTCAAGACTTTTCTGTTTGAAATGTGTTGAACCCATGATATTTTGAGCATTCTACGATATAACCACATCTCGAAGGCTTCTAATTTGTTCATCATGTTAACCTTCATAATCCACGTTTCACATCCATACAGTAATACAGGATGCACATAACATTTTAAGAATTTATTCTCAGCTGTAAGTTCAGCTGATAATTGCTCAGAATAGATCTAGGTTTCACAAATGCTCCTCTTGCAATTTCTATACGAGTTTTAATTTCTTTAAGACAATTAGTTGTATAGCGCCGAGGTCTTGTTTACTAACCACAAGTAACTTTGTCTTTATTGTATTTATGCTTAGTCCGTTATTAGAGCATTCTCTAGTGACTCGATCTATAAGGAATTGAAGATCTTCGATACTTTCAGCCATGATTGCGGTGTGATCTGCATATTTGATGTTATTAATAGTTTCTCCTCTGATTCGAACTCTACATTGCCCTTCCAAGGCTTTGTTAAAAATTATTTCTGAGTAAACATTGAACAAAGTTGGGGACAACACACAACCCTGTCTAACACCTCTTTGAATACAAATTTTGTCTGTTTCTTTGCCGTCTACCAGAATAGAAGCTTCTTGATTCCAATATAGATGTTGTAATAGTCTCAGATATTTATCATCTATTCCAATTATTTCTAGATATTCAAACAGCCTACCATGTTGAACCCTATCAAACGCCTTCTCAAAATCTATAAAACAGATGTAAATTGGTTTCTGTACTTCCCATGATCGTTGCAGTAGTGTTAGCATTGAGAACAAAGCTTCCCTTGATCCCAATCCTTCTCAGAAACCGAATTGTTTATTTCCCATTGTCTCTTCACATTTCTGCTTGATACTATTAAGAATTATCCTAAGAAGTAGCTTGAGAGAGTGACTCATGAGACTAATTAGTCTAAAGTCTTTACATGATAATGTATTAGGTTTTTATGGAAGTGGGATAAATGTAGACTCCAACCATATTTGTGGCAGTGTTCCAGTTTCGTATATGTGGTTATAAACGTTTGTTAGTTCTGAGACATTGTCGTCGTCTAGAAGTTTGAGCCAGTCTGATGGTATTTGGTCAGGGCCTGGAGATTTCCCATTTTTGATTTGTTTGATGGCTTTCTCTACGTCTGCTTTTAAAATACTAGGACCAGTATTCGTATACTTTGTGGCGTTAAGTGGTGGCCTCGTATACAGGAAGAGCTCTTTTATGTAGTTGGTCCATTCTTCCTTTTTTTCGTTTAAGTCGAGAATAATTTTACTTTTAAGTTTTTCATAAAGTGAGGACTTCTTTTTCTCTGAGTGTAGGTAATTTCTAAGTTTTTTGTGTATATTAAACTCGTCATCTTTTCTTTGTAGTTCTCCCATCTAACGACATCTCTGTTAAATCCAGTCCTCTTTTGCTCGCTTAACCTCGTATCTTATTTGTCGATATATTTCTCTATATCGAGTCTCATCTTTATTTTTACAATTTCTTCTTAAGGTCTACTATGTTATCGGTCATCCAATCCTTTTTCTTTACTGGCTCTTTTTCTGATTTTAAAACTTCGTCTGCTATGGTAACCATGGCGGAATTCATTATATCTATATTTTTGACCCATATTTTCTTGTTCAGATCTTTCTAGCTGTTTTTTAAATTCATGATTTATCTTATTTCCGAACTCATCTGCTATTACGGCATTTCTTAGGAGTCAATTATTATGTTTTTTCTGAGCTGTCGGGGTTTTTATTATTTTTAATTTTAGTTTGAATCCAGCACAGAGAGATTGCATGCGTGATTAATTCATCTATACTTTCATGACTGAAATTTATGAAGATGTACTCATTATGTGTATTCGATATACATCGAAAGAAGGATGCACGCCAAGGTTTTAAGATTCGGTAAAAAATCTCGATAATTATGTTAGTTTTCTTTACATACCTGTTTCTTTGTCGTTTGTCGATGATACAATTTTTTTCTTCCCTGCACGCATATGATAAATCTTTTCGCACTGTCCTTTTAAAAAATCCTTTGCATCCTTCACAACTGAAATAAAATAGAAATATATTAATACTAGCATGACATTTGTTAAATTAATAGTCACGACTATTTTACAATAAATATTTTATAACCAGTTATTTATAACAATTTTTCATGAGAATTAAAATTAATAATTAATACGTTAATTAATAATTAATGAGTAATACCAAGAAATAATTAAGAAATATAATAATCTATTATAATTTAAATACTCTAAAAACACGTGAAAAGTAAATGCCTTTACATAAAAAGAACAGAAAAAATTATTACATTATGACTACAGCTAAGACTCCAATGGAAAATAATGACAGCATGTTATTGGATTTTATAAATACCACAAAAATTTCATCATATCTAATCGTGACTGTAAAATTTGATGTTAGCAATTTCATATAAGATCATGAGAAAACCCAAGATTAATAAAGCTAAGCGGATATGTTCCTCAACATCTATATCAAATTCTATTTGATGATGCACAACAATGAACAAATTACAGGGCCATAAAACTATTTAACCCTGCATTACTACCCATCAAAAATTGCCTTTTTTACAACGGGGGGAACCTAAATATAAAACACCGGTTTGCAAAAAATAAAATATATTTAGAAAAGTACAAAATGGTTTAACAATATTAAACATATTTATTAATTATGTTTTAGTTAATGCAATCTGGGCACACTTTTGGCCGATGGTTCATATATCAGTGCACTTCTTGCACGTTATCCTCGATTTTCTGTCTTGTTCCCTGTCGTCAAACCTGATGCAATTTGTAAGAAATGCATAACGAGCTTTACTCATTACAGTGGGAAAAAATGAAATTCCCGTTTCTTTGTTGAAAAGTTCTTTCGATGTTACCAAATTCATATTTAGAACCCTTGCGTAGTAATAAAGTCCGCACAATGCTTTGATTTCTATTAGATTCGTATTCTCTCACATACGATAGTACGAAGATAGCTGCATTAGCCACTTCCTAAAGGAAAATTATATACAACTGCAATAAGACGAACTATGATGAATGAATGTCGAGCTTTTAAAAAGAAATAGGAGCAACAAATGCATGTGGCGGAAATCAGAATGATTTGGGGAAGTCTATGGGTGGTACCACTTGATGCCATAATGAGAGAGCATTGGTTAAGATGGTTCGGATATATTATGGAGAAGTGGAATTTAGGGAAAACCAACTCCGCAAAGAGATAACAATACAGATGATAACAATGATGATGATAAATGAATCATAAATGATGTATTCCCGATATGAACTTTTTTCATTTACTAATTTTCTAGAGGTGATATTTTTTTCCATATAGATAATCAAATCCGTCCATATTCTACTGAGGAGTTTGCAAGGAAATTTGATTCGCATATTAAATGAAAGCTGCTTCTTTATTGTTTTGACGTTTTTGGCCGTTGGTATTTATTAAAACAATTAGTGGCCTTGATTTTAGGCCGAAATATTTTTTTATTCTAAAGGTATTATAAAAAGAACAAAGATTTGTTTACTATTTCGACATAATGCCTTACTCGGAAAAGTAAAAAACATACGAGAGAATTAAATTGATGATAATGGTTATCTTTAATAAAAATATTTTTATTTGCTCTGTCTGATTAAAAAACGTACTCGTGCATATGTGCAAAATCACAAAAATAAACAAATAAATATGAGGTTTTAATCCTTATCTGACCCAGTTAACTTCCGCATCACCTTAAACTACTTTTTAACAATAAAAATTATCTCGCAATTTTAATCTCTTCATAAAATTCTATTTCGTTATTGACTAAAATAAAAAAAAATTGATAATTATTCAGTTCTTGTATCTATTCAAGGATGTTCAGCTAATAACCGTTTTGGAGGTTTAATTTTCTTCCTCAGAACGGATTTGCTTGAAAATTTGGATTTAGGTTCCTCTTGTTCTCTAATTCACTTTTGAACCCATGCCCAGGGTTGCTTTTACTTGGGGGATGAAAAACATATGTTAAAATAAGTCCTGAAATGGATAGCTTGACTAATTCTAAGCAATTTTTATTGTACAGAGTTTTTTCACGTACAACCGGGGAGTTGTACAAGCTTCACATAGATTCTAACAAGGATAGCAATGGAAATCAACAAATTAAAAAACACAGATATAATTCTGAATGACCAACTTGAGACAAACAGTTCTCCCCTCCTCAACCTATTTTATTAGAGACTATAAAATGTAAACGCATGCCAAAAATAGATCACTTGAGAAAGGCAATCAGCAGAAACAATTGTACTGATAAGAGGTTAAAATAAATTTTGTGGAAGTTTCAAAACAAAGTTTCAGTGTTTTATTGTTACATAAAATGAATTTCCATCAAGTTACGGTCGAATCCATCAATTTTATGTGGGGTCCGGATACTAGAAGAAAATTTGAACAAGGTCCAGAAAAAAAAAACAAATGATAACATTTAATGCCAAGATGATTATTATTTTGGTACATTCTTAATGATAAAACAAAAGACCTTAAATTAATGCGAAAAATTGCACCGACGGTCTTGAGCTAGTTGTTTGTGGTCTGGTTTTCGAGTCGAACAACAAATTAGAAGTGTATCTTCGAGGTGGGAGTCTCTTAATCGGGAGCGATATTTGTTTTTCAAAAAATTCATTTTTTTGAAAATACAGAAAGACGTTTCGCACATATACGTTGAGCCAAACATAGTGGCCAAATTATTAGCAAGTTGTCTGCAATTTTCTAATTTTGCTGGCACATGTTTGGCCCAAAATTCTTCGACAAATACATATTTATAAACGTGCAAGGACAAATCTTCTTGTAATTCAATAATCTCCATTTGAAGTAATGCTTTTGGCAGATTAAACAGCTTAGCAGCCACATCTGTCCATTCTGCCGCTGCATCAACTTCAAATGGTGATTTTAGAAATGAAGATAGTTTGCTTACTTGCGCAAAGTCTTGGAATCTTTAAGCAAATCCATTCCTAAGATCACCCAGAAATTTTACGAAGACTGCAATGTCTTCTTCGGAGTACTCCTTATTTTTATTATATTCAAGAATAGTTGGAAAATGAACGAATTCTTGTTGTGCAATATCTTTTTCAAAGATATCCAGCTTACGACGAAAAGCAGACACGCTTTGTATCAGATCACATACTAATTTTCCATTTACTTGTAACTGTGTGTTAAGCGCATTCAAATATTTTAAAATCTTTTAGAAAAGCCACAAGCAGCATTTTTTTTCTGTCTTTATTTCTTCAAAAAAATGAGTTAGCTACTGCCAGCATACATTCCTTCACTATCTCAGAATCAGAAAATGGTTTTTGGTGTTTATTAAGTATCCAGCACACACATAACTATGCCTCTGTGGATTTTTCTTGGTCGCTCATGCAGCGAACTAGGATTTTTGTGCTTTTTTCGTAAAAGGGGAAATACACCATTCAATTCGGTTGAACAATGTGGATGAACCATGTATTTTGCAATTCAGTAAAAGCGTTCAACCAAATTGAATGTTGAAATAAAGTCGAAAGGCGCAAATACACCATTCCATTCGGTTGAACAATGTGGATGATTCAACCAAAATGAACCATGTATTTTGCAATTCAATAAAAGCGTTCAACAAAATTGAACGTTGAAATGAGTTGAAACTTCGTTGTACAACTGGGATGATTCATCCACATTGGCTCGTTTACATATACAAGTTTTGTCGATTGTGTTCGATTCAACCGTTTATTTCATCGAGTTATTTTGACTTGTGATATAATAAGTTCCGTACGTATGTTTCGAATCATCCACATTGTTCAACTGAATTGAATGAAGAATAAATTGAAGCGTGTATATGTATGCTTTTCAATTTGATTGAACAATGTAATTGAATCATCCACATTGTTCAACCGAATTAAATGGTGTATTTCCGCCTAAACCAATTTTACTTTTGTTCAACTTAGTTGTACAACTGGGATGATTCATCCACATTGACGCGTCTCAAGATTTGTTGATTGTGTTCGATTCAACCGTTTATTTCATTTTGACTTGTGATTATAATAAGTTTCGTACGTACGTTTAGAATCATCCACATTGTTCAACTGAATTGAATGAAGAATAAATTGAAGCGTGTATATGTATGCTTTTCAATTTGATTGAACATTGTAATTGAATCATCCACATTGTTCAACCTAATTGAATGGTGTATTTCCGCCTTAAGAATTAAGATATACCCGAAGTTGTTCTTTTTTTAGCCCCTGACTGTCAAGAGGAAAGTTTTTGTGGAACTGCTGATGAGTTGTTTCGTAGTGACATTTCAAATTTCCACTTTTAACAAAGGCGACAGTTTTATTACATATAAGGCACACCGGAATCGCTTGCGGCCTATCAGGCAGTATAAAACAATATTGTTCAGTCCATTCTGCCAGAAACTTCCTATTTTTATTGTCCATTTTTCTCCCTTTCGGATCCATATTAACGTAGGTACAAAAAGATGTTTTATAAAATGAACGAAAATGCGATTAATCACAAAACAAATTAACGGTAGTGCGCTACGTGCATGTCACTGACCAACTAGTGAGCGACTGTCAGTCAGTCAGGTCAGTCTGACTAGTGAGAGTGACTGTCTGAGTCTGGTCCTGGCCAGTCAGTGGCCAGTAGTGCGTCAGTGGGCAGCAGCGTTGCCATGCCCATAAATTTTATTTCCCCAAATTGTGTTTTGAACGTTGCCAGATTTTGAACAGAATTCCCCAGATTTATATATTTCAGTTATTGTAAACATACAATATTATTAAAACAATATTTCATCATTTATATGTGATGAAATTGTAATTTCTGTCTCCAATTTTATAACATGGTTGAGGTAATTTTTCCAATGTCCATTGTTCTGTACTTTTTCATATCCTTTATATATCAATATTTTAACGGCGTTTTGTTTAAAATTTGAATTTCTAGAGGACACGTACCGTTTCAATTCACTCCACACCATTTCTATTGCGTTCAGTTCACAGTGAAGGCGGAATTCTTAAGATGTGGACATCTACGCGGTATTGT